ATGAAAATACACCGGTACAAATGTTATAAACCCTTATGATATGGATAATCTTCAAACCATATCCTCACAATAAATAAACTGCAATTCAACAGCCTTATGTTTTATTTTTATTTTCTTTCTTTCTTTTTCCTTTTCTGTCTTTTTCTTTCTCTCTCTCTTTCTGTCTCTCTTTTTCTTTCTCGTTACTTCAGTCTGTATTTTTCTCTGTCTTTTTCTTCCTCTCTTTCTTTGTCATTCTCTGGTTAGACTTTCAGACCAACTGATACGTATGACAAGCTTTGTAAAATTAATAAATGTCTTGTCTAATTTTGGCAAAAAGAAATATCTCATAATTTTATCACCTGTCTTGTTGACACCTAAATGATCTCCCATGGAGAGTTCATGGGCAACTTTCAATATTTCAGAAGGACACGCTTTGGAAACAACGATTTGATGAATAATAACCCAGTCCTCTGAAACTGGCACATCTGGTGGACTCCATTTCCTCATAAGCACACCATTTTTGAAAAAATAACTATTTGGTATTTTCTCCAGTTCATCATTTGGGAGTGTGTGTTTAAATAGTGAAGTGATCTGCAAATCTTTTTCTCATTCAGTGATCAATTTACTTTTAGTAAATGGAACTTCACTAGGTGAATCAGATCCTTCACATCTATCGTTGTCACTCACCGAGGTATTGCCAGTAGGACAATCATTCCCAAGATCTCTGTCAGATCCAAACAATGTCCGAGACAAATGTATAATATCATCCTCTGAATTCATGCTTATTATTTGTTTTTGGCTTAATTTCTCAGCCTGAGCTCGAGGCACAAAACACGAGGGAAACACATCAGGATTCTCCTCAACTACAACATCATCCTTAGATGAAACAGTGATCGGCTTGTTATCCATTTTAGGTTTGGCAACAACTTTTTCCCCAGCTAAGTTGTTTCCTAACAACGATGATACACCCTTTATTGGCAGAGTAGGTCTTACCCCAAACACAACTGGCCCCGAAACTGGGTCTGATGCTAAATAAATATTATGAAGAGGAACATTAACAAAGTTACCCTCAATACCCTGAGCAATAACAGACTCACCAGTGGCAGAACTCGAATCTAATGGCAATACACCTTCTAACAACAATGATTAAGTCGCCCCAGTATCACGTAGAATACGTATGGGTATGAGATTGCCAGTGTTATTTGTCAAAGACACAAAATGTCTAAGCTCTTCTCTGATTACATCAGCTTTTATATCAGTGGCCACATCAACAACATTGGGTGATCTGGTGAAACTATGTCCATATGTAGACACAAACACACTGAGTGCTGCCTCCTTTTCTTTCTTCTTTTTCAAACCCCAACAATCGGACATAACATGACCAGGTTTTTCACAAAAATGGCAGACAGGCCTTGATGATTTTGACAAAGTTTTAGCCCAACTGTATGAAGATTTCGAACTAGAGAAGCTGGACTTTTTTGGACGAATTTTCAACTTCAGTGGATTGAACAAGTACAGGTTTTTGTTGAAATGATAGGAACCTTTTCTTTATGAAAAGTGTTTTTGTGTGTAAAAGTATAATCATCGGAAAGAGCGGCTGCTTCCTGTAGCGTTTCAACTTTTTTTTCATCTAAGTACGTTTTGAGTTCATCACGTGCACAATGTTTAAATTCTTCAATTAGGCATAATTGTCTTAGTTTGTCAAATCTATTGCCAATATGCATCAAATTACACCAATGATCAAAATAAACTTATTTTTCGTGGGCAAATTCCATACAAGTTTGATTATCTTGTTTGCGATAACCTCTAAACTTTTGGCGATAAGCCTCCGGTACTAACTCGTATGCTTTCAGAATAGCTGCTGTAACCTTATCATAATTCGAACAATCTTCTAAAGAGAGAGCAGCGTAAGCTTCTTGTGCTTTACCAGTTAAGACACTTCGTAATAATAATGACCATTTTTCGGTAGGACATTCCATGGTTTGGGCAACCTTCTCAAAATGTTGGAAATATTTATCTACTTAATTTTCATTGAACAATGGTACTTTAACATACCAATTAAGCTCAAAGTTGTAATTTGCTGTGGTCGATCAGTGTTGAGTCTAATTTCCATTTCTTTCAGACTAATTTCTTTTTCAGCTACAATATGAGCTCATTCGTTCTACGCTTCAATACGAGTTCGTTCGCTATCTTTCTCAGCTTCAATATGAGCCTGTTCAAGCCTGAGTTGTTTCAGTATTAGCTGGACCTATAACTTATCTTTATCACTCAACCCCGATTGGCTAGTAGGGACACTAGAGTATTCCTCTAATGCTTTCTCAGACAACAAATCATCATCGACTAGTATTTCGATAATACGCTTTTTAGTTCATTTTTTCTCGTTGATCTTTTGACTTCTAGTTCTAGAACATTTGAAATTTCAGGCAATTCATTTTCGTTATATTTTTCTAACTGTTCTAGAGAGGGTGATACAAGAAAATCTTGATAATCCGACATGATCAAATCTTGTTGGCACTGATCAATATAAATTCAATTATGATTTAAATTATAATTTAGATCGAATTTTGTCTCTGATTCAAATCTCGGACATGAGCCCCCAATTTATTATGTTACGTATTGAGAATTTGAAATAATTCAAAGCCACGTTAAATAATTTAACTTTTAATAGTTGAACTGTACTCTGGATTTAGTGTTTAGAAATATGCTGATGTTTTATTTAATTTATGCTATTTGCCAACAAGATTGATTTATGCTGTTATTGTTTTGAAACAAATACGTTTTAATATATATATATATATATATATATATATATATATATA